GCAGAGGTAAAGTGTCAGTGGGGGGGCCGGGCCTTGTTTAAGAGGCTGGTAGCGGAGGGGAAGAAACTGTTCAGGTGGCGAGAGGTATTGGTCATGATGGAGCGCAGCCTCCTGCCAGAGGGGAGGGGGGTGAACAGTTTGTGTCCAGGGTGGGAGGGGTCGGCCACTATCTTCCCTGCCCGCCTCAGGGTCCTGGTGGCATGCAGGTCGTGGAGGGATGGCAGATTGCAGCCGATCACCTTCTCTGCAGAGCGGATGACACGCTGCAGCCTGCCCTTATCCTTGGCTGTGGCTGCGGCGTACCAGATGGTGATGGAGGAGGTGAGGATGGACTCGATGATGGAGGTGTAGAAGTTCACCATCATCGTCTTTGGCAGGTTGAATTTCTTCAGCTGCCTCAGGAAGAACATCCTCTGCTGGGCTTCTTTGATGAGGGAGCAGATGTTCTGCTCCCATTTGAGGTCCTGGGCGATGATGGTGCCCAGGAAGCGGAAAGACTCCACAGCAGTGACTGGGGAGTCACACAGAGTGATGGGGGCGGGTGGGGCTGCGTTCTTTCTGAAGTCCACAACCATCTCCACTGTTTTTAGGGCGTTTAGCTCCAGGTGGTTTTCCCCACACCAGGTCACCAGATGGTCCATCTCCCACCTGTAGGCAGACTCGTCCCCACTTCAGGAGCTTGACAGACTGGTGACTGGAGGTGCAGCTGTTGGTGTACAGGGAGAAGAGCAGAGGGGAAAGAACGCAGCCTTGAGGGGAACTGATGCTGATGGTCCGGGGGTCAGAGACGTGTTTCCCCAGCCTCACGTGCTGCTTCCTGTCAGACAGGCAGTCTGTGATCCACCTGCAGGTGGAGTCGGGCACGTGCAGCTGGGAGAGCTTGTCCTGCAGCAGAGCCGGGATGATGGTGTTGAAGGCGGAGCTGAAGTCCACAAACAGGATCCTGGCGTAGGTTCCTGGTGTGTCCAGGTGCTGGAGGAGGAAGTGAAGGGCCATGTTGACAGCGTCATCCACAGACCTGTTGGCTCTGTAGGCGAACTGCAGGGGGTCCAGAAGTGGGTCTGTGATGGATTTCAGGTGGGACAGGACAAGGCGCTCAAAGGACTTCATAACCACAGAGGTCAGGGCGACGGGTCTGTAGTCATTTAGTCCTGTGATCCTTGCTTTCTTGGGAACCGGGATGATTGTTGAGGTTTTGAAGCATGCTGGGACGTGGCATGTCTCCAGTGAGGTGTTAAAGATGTCAGTAAACACAGGAGACAGCTGATCAGCACAGAGCTTCAGGGTGGAGGGGGAGACATTGTCAGGGCCAGCCGCTTTTCTGGTATTGAGTTTTCTGAAAAGTCTGTTTACATCCCTTTCATTGATTGAGAGAGAGTCTGATGTGTCGGGGGAGGTCAGTGGTGTAGGAGAGTGGGACACTGAAGGGGAGGGGGATGTGGAGGTGTGAGACTGAAGCTGTTGAGAGGTGTCATGGGGGATGGTGTCAGGACTGAACTCTCTGGCCTAGGCTCCACGGGAACGAAAACGGGTTGTATCCGCATATTTCTCTTGCGTATAGCCCTTTAAGCTAGACGACGCCGTAACGGAACGGTAGAAACGGACCCTGCAAACGACAACGGGTCCAAAGGTGGATAGATCTGGGAACGGAGCCCTCTGGGGGGTCCAACAGGGCCGTGTGGTAGCCTATACGGTCATCCGTTTCTGATAATGACGACGCAATAGCCCCGCCTCTCCCCGCCTCTGCTGCTCACCCCCGCAAAAGTACACTGCACACTGAATTCAGATTATTTATCTTTATCTCGATATGGACATAAACGCGAGTGAAGTCTAATCTGACAGGACGGAGACACGCAGCTCCTCCCGCTGCATCACAGCGGGAGGAAAACACACACTTCAAGTCAGATCACCACCCTTAGCTATTTTAATTACCTCTCAAACTACCGAAACTAGTTATAAATATGTTTATTTTTACTGTCGAGTCATCATTACTGGATCAGCTGGATCTCACCGCCTTGCCAAAGACGTACTTCGACTCTCTTAAGGCCCCTACACACCAGGCCGATATCGGCCGTCTTGCGTTGTTGGGCGAAAACGGGTTCCTTGTCGCCCAAAGTCAATTTGGTGTGTCCCGAACCCTCGGCCGTGACACGCCTTATTTGGCCTTTCACGATCGACACCCGGCCGATTCAACATGTTGAATCGGCCGGGTGTTGGACACAAGCTATCGGGCCAAGAAACCTCTCTGATCAGCTGTTCAGCTAGCAAATGAGAAGCGAAACGGAAGTGAGGGACGTAAACAAACGATTTAAATGTCCTCTCTTACCTCCCACACATAGCAGGGACATCTCTGATATCGGCGGGAGCGTCCCCGGCTGTCCTCTGCTGAGAGCTCCGTGATTTGTTTGGTCAAGTCCGGTTTTTCATCTCATCGTAAATTTAGCAAGAAGTGGCCATTATTACATTGCTGACTCAATAAACTACACACCCGGCAGAACACTGCGATCATCAGATGCAGGTCTATTAACTGTGATTTTATAGTATGTCTGCACTTTATGTGCTCATTTCATCATGCATGTATTTTTATATTCTAAAACATGTTTTCGATGGACGAGAGTGAAAATGGAACGGCACCAGCTATTTGTTTGTATATCAGTCTGTTCTTCTTCTCTGTCTTCCGGTTGTTGCCTATTTTGAATGACGAATACACACTACCGCCGCCTGCTGGTAAGAAGAGTTATTGCCACTCACGCATGCGCAGTTCGTACGTGCTCGGCTGTAGTAAAGCGGTGTATTTCAGTGCGACACACGGCCAATACGCAGGAGAACTCGTTGATGGATCTGTCGGTGTCGGATGTCGGCGAGTTCTCTGGTGACTGCCTGGTGTGTCAGGCGTGCCTTATCGCCACTCCTAAACGCCTCCTCCTTTTGCAATCTTAGCTGTTTCAGTTTTGGTGTGGGCTTGTTGTTGTTGAAACTCACCCTGGTGCGCGTTGGAACACAGCTGTCCTCGCAGAAGCTGATGTATGACGTCACAGCCTCTGCATATTCATCCAGACTTTGCGTTGCAGTCCTAAACATGTCCCAGTCAGTACAGTCCAAACACGCCTGAAGTTCCTCCTTAAGGCCCTGACACACCAGGCTGAAATCGGCCGTTTTCGTTAGTCGGACGACGAAGCGTGCCCTGTCGCCCAAACTCAATTTGGTGTGTCCCGCACCGTCGGCCGTGACACGCCTTATTTGGCCTTTCATGGCCGACGCACGGCCGATTCAACATGTGCGTCAGCCACAGGCAGTCGGACAAAGGAATCACTCTGATTGGCTGTTCAGCTAGCGAATCAGTGCATGAGAAGCGAAACGGTTACTTGATAACAATAACTAGGCAGTCCGGATAAGTCCTCTCCACACACAGTATCTGGTCGGCGAGTGTGCGTTGCGCCTCCTGCGCGTTCGCATGCGGTGGAATGTACACACCAACCAAATCTAAGATATTGAAGTGACTGTTATTTTGTTTATATTAATTGTTGTGTTGTTATCTTAATGTGTGCATATGTGTAAATGTGTATGTTGATTGTATATAGAGGATATACATATTTGTATTATTGTATTTTGTATTCGGGATTGTTGGAAACGTTATATCGATCTCTCTGTCTGTACAAACACACAGAAAAATTGACATTAAAGTTGACTTTTGACTTTGACTTGACTAAATCCACGTAGTACAAGAGATGGAAACATTAATATTTGTCGTCCGGATTACAGAATTGACCAGAAGTTGTCACAGTCTCGGCGGTGTGTGGCGCAGTGGACTAGTGCGTTGGTGTTCGGATCAGGGGGGTCACAGGTTCAAACCCCACTGCAGTCAGCATGTCGTTGTGTCCCTGAGACACTTCACCCCAAATTGCTCCTGTGGGGATTGCCCACAGTATTGAGTATGTAAGTCGCTTTGGATAAAAGCATCTAACAAGTGACATGTAATGTAATGTCTCTGTGTCCCGCTGCACGTTTACACAACACTGTGGTTACACTCTTATCATCAAACAAGACTAAACTTGTGCAGAAAGAGACGAGGTGTGCATGTGAACTGGAGCCATTTCTGGGCAACTTCTCAGTGGAAAAGTTGTGTGTTTTTGTTTCATTGCTGCCGGTTTAAACATGATTTATTATGATGAAACAGTGTGTTGTGGGACCATGAAACGTCTTGAAAAAGTCCCAGGCCTACAGTACATGCATTTTCAGGAGATTGCCCCAAAATGTAGGTTAATTATTAAAGCTAACATGATTCATTCTTACATTTCTTATCTTATTGCTGTCATGAGGATGTTTTAATTGAACAGTATTTTTGAGCAACTTGAATATGAGCAATGAAGAATATTAAGGAGGCAAAACAGCTTTCTATTTACAGATTTATTGTTGCTATATTATTATTATTATTAAGTAAAAGGAAATAAGTACCACATCATTTACGATCTGACAAACCACAACATGGCAAAACTGGGAGTTTAATTTCTCTACATTTTAAAAGAAAGTGAAGGATTTCTGGACGATTTGATGGACTGTAATATTTAGTTAAAATAATAGACTTGGGTCCATTCACAGACATTGATTTAGTTAAGTTAAACCTGCCTATTTAAACATACTAGGATATCTAAGACGTTTCCAAACCATGTCCGGGAAAGCATCAAATCCTAGTTTAATGGGCGACTGTGGCTGCGAGGGAGTTGTGGGTTCGATCCCAGCCCATGCAGTCAACATGTCGATGTATCCTTGGGCAAGATACTTAACCCTGAGTTGCTCCCGATGGCCAACGGTGTGTGAATGTGTATGAATGTTAGTTCCTAGAGTAAGGTACACTGCTCTGTATGAATGGGTGAATGACATGTAGTATGTAAAGCGCTTTGAGGGGTCGTAAAGACTGGATAAAGCGCTATATAAGTACAGTCCATTTAATGTTTATCCTGTATGTTAAGGTTCAGAATGAAACTAAAAGAAAGACAACAGTCATAAAAAAGTATTATTTATTCATCATCTAACTCATTTGAAATACCCAGACTTTAAAGTGCCTTTTAAAAGAAATCGGAAATGTGGCCGTAAAAATAAAATCAGTCTCACTTGAATTGTTAATGATCTGGACTCGAGAGTATTACAGTATTTAGTTATTGATTTAACCACTTCTGCAGGAACAGGAAGACGTAGTCGCGGGCCAGAGCCAGCTGGGGGAGATCCTGGCTGCGCGCCGGGTACATGTTGGCACAGTGGGCTGTTCCTGGATCAGAGGAAGAACGTTAATATGAAGGATAGGGCAGCGAATGAACAGTAACACTGAGATTGTCTGGGATACGAGATCAATTATGCACCCAATAAAGTTTCAATCGAACACGTGAGGCATTGTTCTGCTCTGTTAAATCTGTTGCTTGGCTGCTGTTGTAGCCTGAAAGCCACTGAAAAGCCTTTAAAAACTGAGGTCACACCAGCCACCACCTTATTTTGATGGCAAGGATGGCTTTTGTCCCTTTTAAATCCTATTCCTAGATAACTTATAACCTTCTTTTTCGAGCTGTAAACACAGAGTCCAAGTGCTTTTTACTTCACTTCCCTTTAAGTGTTTTATTCACCTTTGATGAACACAGCGGGCAGGTCGGGGCTGATGTCCTGCGTGACCCCCAGGGCGTGCCAGGGGTCGATGGATCCGTTGGGAAGAACGATTCTGGAGGAGCGGATGTTGTATCCTCCGTAATATTCGTTGGTCTCAGCCACGGCCTCCGCTAGCTGATCAGCACTGACGTTAAAGAAGTCTGCACACTGCTGCACGTGGTACCTGCACCAGAAAACACACAGCTTATCTTGGAGGTTATGTCAATTCAAAATAACACCCCAAGTGGAAATGGATTAATTCCCATTTTTGAAGCAAATGAGACTTGTTTTTAGTAAAATGATAACACGACATTTTGTTGATTAGAGATCTGTTCAGAAGAAATGTGATATTCAAGCGACAATACTTTCTCCTCTGTTAGTGGAATTACTCATTTTCTAGACATTATGCTTTGTATTCATGTATGTAAATGTGTCCAAATCAATGCAAAACAGTTCATTGGAGGTATATACAAACAGGAAAATGGACAATGCATGATGATTATTTCATTTAGTTTGGCTTGGTCCACACTTATATAACTTGAACGCGTGAGGCGTTGTTCTGCTCTGTTGCTTGGCTTGTGTCGTGCAAAGCAATCTCCAAAGTTGTATGTTTTTAAGGCACCTTTTATGGTCCAAACACAACTGTCTACAGATTTCCCCCTGTCAATTAATCAAGTGTATGCATTTTGTAGACATTTCGAGCCCTTTATGTACACAGGGTGTCCGCGGGGTCTTAAGGCAAGGCAAGGCAAGGCAAGGCAAGGCAAGTTTATTTATATAGCACCTTTCAACACAAGGCAATTCAAAGTGCTTTACAAAAATGGAAGACATTATGAAAATGGCATTTAAAATCAGTCATTAAAAAGAAAAGATAATAAAATAAACATTAAAAGAAAAAATACATGGATAAAAGTTACAGTGTAGTTTAAGATGTGAATAGTTCAATTAAAAGCAGCGGCAAAAAGAAAAGTCTTCAGCCTGGATTTAAAAGTAGTAAGAGTTGCAGCGGACCTGCAGGTTTCTGGGAGTTTGTTCCAGATATTTGGAGCATAATAACTGAATGCTGCTTCTCCATGTTTAGTTCTGACTCTGGGGACAGAAAGCTGACCAGTCCCTGAAGACCTGAGAGTTCTGGATGGTTCATAATTTAGCAGTAGGTCAGACATGTATTTTGGGCCTAAACCATTCAAAGCTTTATAAACCAGCAACAATATTTTTAAATCTATTCTTTGACACACAGGAAGCCAGTGTAAGGACTTCAGAACAGGAGTGATGTGATCCACTTTCTTAGTGTTAGTGAGGACTCGAGCAGCGGCGTTCTGAATTAGCTGCAGCTTTCTAATAGATTTTTTAGTGAAACCTGTAAAGACACCATTACAGTAGTCCAGTCTACTGAGGATAAAAGCATGGACAAGTTTTTCCAAATCCTGCTGTGACATTAGTCTTTTAATCCTGGATATATTCTTTAGGTGATAGTAGGCTGATTTAGTAACTGTTTTAATGTGACTGTTGAAACTCAGGTCAGAGTCCATGACTACACCTAGATTTCTGGCTTCATCTGTTGTTTTGAACATTGCAGACTGAAGCTCAGCGCTAACTTTTATACGTTGTGCCTTGGCTCCAAAAACCATTACCTCAGTTTTATCTTTGTTTAATTGGAGAAAGTTCTGACACATCCAGTCATTGATTTGTTCAATGCACTTACTCAGTGTTTGAATTGGAGCATAATCTCCTGGTGAAATTGTTACGTAAATTTGTGTGTCATCCGCATAGCTATGGTAACTTATTTTGTTGTTTTTCATTATCTGAGCCAGTGGTAGCATGTAGATGTTAAAGAGAAGAGGCCCCAAGATGGAGCCTTGAGGTACCCCACATGTCATATTTGTCAACTCAGATGTGTATTTACCTATAGAAACAACGTTTTTTCTGTCCTTTAAGTAGGACTCAAACCAATTTAGAACTGTTGCCGAAAGTCCCACCCAGTTTTCTAGTCGGTCTAGTAATATGTTGTGGTCAACAGTGTCAAACGCAGCACTGAGATCTAATAATACTAACACTGAAGTTCTGCCACTGTCTGTGTTTAAGTGGATGTCATTGAAGACCTTTACAAGAGCAGTCTCAGTGCTGTGGTTTGGACGAAATCCTGACTGGAACACATCCAAACAGTTATTTAAATGCAAGAAGTTACTCAACTGTTGAAATACAACTTTTTCAATGATTTTACCTAGAAATGGCAGGTTTGATATTGGCCTGTAATTGTTCATTACTGAAGCATCTAGATTATTCTTTTTTAAGAGCGGTTTAATGACTGCAGTTTTCAGGGCCTCTGGAAAAATACCTGAGTGAAGAGATGTGTTTACTATATGAAGTAGATCTGAGGCCATGCAAGGAAAAACATCTTTGAAAAATCCTGTTGGAATAATATCAAGGCAGCAGGAGGAGGATTTCAGAAGTTGAATAATGTCCTCTAGGTTTTTACCATTAATCTGATGGAATTGTGTCATGGTGTTTGAATTGATATTAGGTGGACACAGGGACAACACATTTGCTGTACCTGATGCAGAGGCACTGACTGCTTGTCTAATTTTCTGAATTTTGTCAGTGAAGAAGGAGGCAAAATCATTGCACGCCCTGGTGGATAGAAATTCAGAGGCTACTTACACTGGGGGGTTAGTTAGTCTGTCGACGGTCAATTCCAAATTATAAAGGCCAAGTCTCTCTTTATAGATTTCAAAGTGAACCTGGAGATTTGTTTTTCGCCACCTACGTTCAGCTTTTCGACACTCTCTTTTTTCTGTTCTCACGGTCATGGCCTTTCTCCATGGAGATATTTTCTTGCCAATCACTTCCTTTACCTTAGTTGGAGCAATGGTATCTATAACATTTTTAATTTTTGAATTAAAATGATCTACTAGCTCATTTACTGAGATGAAAATTATGAGTTAACATTTCCCTAGTATTTTCAGTTAAATATCGCTTTGTGGTTACCTCTTTCTGAACATTTTTGTGAACAGAAATAGAGCTCTCAAAGAAAACATAGGAATGATCAGATAGTGCAACATCAGTCACCACAACCTCAGAGATATTCAGACCCTTTGAGATAATTAAGTCCAGAGTGTGCCCCTTATTGTGCGTGGGCTCCGCCACATGCTGAGTCAGTCCATAGTTATCAAGAACACAAAACAGTTCTTTAGCCCCTCTGTCCTGGGGGTTGTCAACATGGATGTTAAAATCACCAACAATGACTAGACGGTCAAAGTCAATACACACTATAGACAGCAGTTCAGTAAAATCATCAAAAAAGCTTGCACAGTATTTGGGTGGTCTGTAGATATTTAGGAACAGAGCTCGAGAGGAGCATTTCAGCTGAAGGGCCACAAAGAAGCAAAGTTCCCATAAGATGTCTTCCTGCATTGAATGGAATCATTGAACAAAATAGCAACTCCACCCCCTTTCTTATGCATTCTTTCCTGACTCATAAAACTAAAGTTGGGAGGGGTTGTTTCGATAAGAACAGCTGCACTGTTATTTTGTTCAATCCAAGTTTCCGTTAAACACATAAAATCGAGATTGTGCTCAGTGATAAAATCATTGATTAAAAATGTTTTTCCTGCCAAAGACCTGACATTTAATAAAGCTAGTTCAAGTTTGTTGAATACACTATCAGTAAAAAATGTTGTGACAAGCTGTGGCTGACATTGAATCACTGCTAAATTTGATAACCTCACACAAACGTTTGAGTGCTTCCTGTTTCTAAGCTGATTCACCGCTCTTAATCTATTACCTATCAACACAGATATCAGCAAAGCTACTGGCAGGCAGGGCCCCGGCATGTGCTGGAAAGAGTTGAGAGTGCCATATGCCCTTGAGCCTGGACCCAGCACATATCAGTAAGAGTTTGTTGCGTTTTGTACACACACATCCTTATCAGGCTTCGGAGACTGCAGATGCTTTCTTGAAGGGAGGGGAGGTGGTTGACGTAGGCACGGTGATGAAGACGGGGGAGATGGTGCGCGTCTCTGCTTCGGTGATTTTGGTGGGCGTTGTGGAGGGGCGGGGGTAAAGGACATGCTGCCAGGGGGGGGAGGTGGTTGACGTAATAGGTGGTTGACTTAAAAAGTATTAAAAGTTGATAAATTAATTTAGCGAAAATTAAGGCTATTCAAAAGTATTAAACGGCATTTTCCAAGGTATTACATTTTGTAGCTTGTTTTCAATCAGCATATAAATTGTCCAAAGAGGTTGTATTCTACAGTCTGCCTGAATGTAATCATTGCGTAGGTGTGTAGTGTGATTCTGTGTAGTTTATTTATCAACAAAGATCAACAAAGATCAACAAATATTTTTGAGCGCACTTCCACAAGCTACTAAACATATATAAATGTGATAAATAAAAATAAATTAGACCAAAATAAATTAGATCAAATATGTTGCAGTGCACTGTCACAACCTAGCAAAGCAAAATAATTATTTTTTTCGATTATGTTTGTTTTCGTAATTGTGGCAGGCCAAAATCGTAATTGCGATTAAAATACGATTAATTGCACAGCCCTAGCTCATAGCTTTGTGACGTTGAAGCAGCAACAAATAACTTTTCCTGGAAGAATGAATGCAGATGCCTCTGTTTCTGTTTCCTTCAGAGCTAACATCAGCACTGACGTTAAAGAGGCGATACCTGCACCAGAACACACGGCAACAATGGGAACACTGGGAGGAAAATGGACAATGTTTATTTAGTTTAGTTTGGCTTGGTCGACTTCCACTTATATAACTTGATAGTTGTCATCCCTTCACGATACAAATATCAACATATTAAATCAACAATAATATGTCATTTCTTTCAGATTGCGACAGACTATAGCAAACTATTACCGATGAAGAAGCTAAAGCCTTACGGCCCCTACACACGGCAGCGTGCGTTGACGCTTCAACGCTTCTGCCCATTCACTTTGAATGGGGTGACGTCATGATTCGCCGAACTGCATTCTGGGAGCAAAGCGTAGCTTTTCTCGCGGTGCTCGCTGCAAAAGTAGAGCAATGTTCTACTTTTGAAGCAGAGGCGGAGGCGTCAGCCAATCAAATCCCGCGTATGCAAATCTGTCAGTACAAGCGCTAGCCAATCAAACCGCGTGTATGCTGGGAGAGCCAGACCGCAGTTCATTTCCTCATATGCCAAAAAATGTAGGAGAAAATAATCGTAGCGGTAGGGAATCACCCGGTGCTTTCAGTCCCTGTTTACCTGCCGGGATACAAACCGGAGGAGCTAGGCATGGAGGGAGGTCGCAGAAACAGTGGGTGAAACTGGTAGGTTTTCGCCTGTTTGGGGAGTTTATATCCAGTGTACTTCGTTTGAATGGACAGCAGGCATAGACAGTATATTTAGCCACCATGCAATGTTGCATAAAATAGCACCATAGACATTAATTAAAAATCGCTTTTTAGACATTAATGTCTATGGTGAGATTCATACACGGGTGCCTTTTTAAAGCCTTTTTACCCCGCTGCAAACAGAAACCCCCCCCCTTCCCAACACAAACTTTACACAGACCCCCCCTTCCAATTATCAACTCCTGTCTTGTTTCCGCAAACTCTTGTGTCCTGCAGCAGCTAAACGTTTTGCAAGCCCCCGTTCGTTTAGTACCTAAAATAATAGACATCGCTTTTTCCAGCTGACAAACCCGACTTTCTGGTCACTTCTTCAATTTTCCAGCCCTTGGGGAGAGACACGGGAGATTCATGTGATTGGTTGTTGGTCGCGTTGCTCGCGTAAACTCCCCAAGCTCAAGACACGCCCACCGCCAAGCGGCAACGCACGCCGCCGTGTGTAGGCAGTGTTAGAGCAGGGGTGTCAAACTCAAGGCCCGGGGGCCACATCCGGCCCGCGACTTCATTTTCTGTGAAAGCATATAATATGTGTATTATACGGTTACATGCCGATTTACAGAAGCACGTTGCCCATAAACTACATGTCCCACAATGCATCTCAAATTTGACTTTTTTCTCAGAATTTGACTGAATTTCTTCAAAACTTGACTTTTTTTCTCAAAGATTTCACTTATTCCTTTTTTTTTTACTTTTTTCTTCAGAATTTGGCTTTTCTTTTATAAATCATTTTGTAACATTCTCCCTGAAGAGACTTGCAATTATTTGCCCTAGACTTCTGCTTTCAGACGTAGTTAATCATGAAGTTATTACCCTATCCCATAATAATCCAATGCAGAGGCAATAATGTAATATAATGGATTATTTTATATATATTATATATTTATATATGTATTTTTATATAGTCTTAAAGTTACAACCGGCCCTTTGAGTGCAACCATAATGCTGATGTGGCCTGTGATGAAATTGAGTTTGACACCCCTGCCTTAGAGTATAACCTCAACACTTGTTTACATTATTTCATAATTATTTTTGCTCAATTATCAATAAATAGACACCGAAAACCAAATAAATAAAAAATACCTTATATATATTATCTTCAAAAAATCTCATTAAAAGGTAGGGTAGGTAATTCACTTCAGAAACTAACTGGATGGCCTACCTGCCTGTCAGCCTTCCATCTGTGCACAAACTTATCTCGTGCCCTCATTGGTCATGTGCGCGTTCGTGTGTGTTGGAGGAGGGGCTCTGTAAGGAAGTCTGAAGGAAGGGGCAGATTTTTTTCTAGCTTACTCGAGCTGGTTTCTCCATTCTTACCTACCCTACCTTTAAGTGAGACAATTTGAATAAGATAAACTAAATAACATATATGTAGATTATATATTTCCAAAAAGTCCCAAAAATGTTTTTATATATACAAAAGTGTGTCATTTATTACATTAACATTATTTATTTTACATCTGACATTTTCATATTAGTTATTTAAAGATGTAACTCTCTTTTATAAAACAGATTAAGTGTATTAGACATTTTAATTTCCTTCTCTTTGTTGTGGTCATAATGGTCCAGGGGAGCAGGTGCCGGGGAGAAAAGATTTATTAATTAAGACTTAATTATTCAGAGATGATGTTTGATGTACTCACTTCAGAGGGAAGCCGCTGAAAGGTTGGTCCGGTGAATCGGTGCTCTGGTAAAATCCAAATTCAGTGCAGGTCTGGTAGACCCACTGTCTCCCTGACGACACACACACACACACAATTAATTTGGGAATTACATTTGAAGAAGCCGCTAAAAAGTGATAGTAGAGAAATAGAGAATAACTAATTTATATATTAACAAACATATCTTATGAATATGTATGTTGTATACCAATAACATCAGCTTTCTCCTTAACAATTGAGTCATGTTTGCAATAAATAAGGGTATTTATTTGTTCCCGCAAGTCAAATTAAGTCCATTTTAGTTCATGGAATCAAAAGGCGTTGCCAACACAGTGCAGGTATTTCTACTATGAGTTTAAAATGGATTTTTTTTCACACTGAAGTCTCTCAGCCCCAATTAGCAGGAAGAGAGGGGAGAGTGAAACTGAAACCCCGAGGAGGGGGGAGGAGGAGGAGGAGGAGGAGGAGGAGGGGGGGGTTTATGTGGACACATCCCAATGGCTTTTTAAGAGACCACTTCCTGTTCCAGTGATCCCAATCCACATGAAACTGGAACCACATCCCGGGGCGGATGGGGGGGAATATATAGAAACCCATTTCAGGTTAAACATGTTAAGGCGTTACTCGATACTGAGCGGCCGACGCCGTGTTGTTAAATCAATGAAAGACCTGATTTTCCCCCAAATCTTCCAAAGCAGCATTGCTGGTATTACAGAAAATAACATCTAAGATTCAGACGCTGAACTCGTGCATTATCATCCGCCAATAAATACTTTATTTGTTAATTTTAATATACTTTTAATTTGAGTCTAAAACCCATAAAAATCTTCATTTCTTTGCGTTTTTTAAAGATTCCTCAAATTTAAGATGATTGTTTCCTTGTGTTGGAAAAACAATCCGAGGACTAAGAAAATATGTTTTAATCCACAAAAGTGCTCGTAGTTATTTGTTAATAAATTAGAATGAATTAATAATAATTATAGTAATTAATATTGTAATATAACAGCTTTTATTTTGTCTATTTATTTTTTCTCTTTTTCTGACTTGTGGATTGTTGTCTTGTTATATTTATTTCTTCCCTAAAACAAAAAGTCCCAGAAACCAATGGGTACCAAACAAATGAGGAACACTTATAAATAAGAATAACAAGAGGACATGTACTTACATATGACGTCCCTGTATGAGACCAAATCTGTGTCATAAGAACATAACAAACCCAAAAATAAAAAGGGACTAGAAACAGCCGAGTGTTTAAAACAGAAGGCACTAAAATAACCATGTTACCACCCACACACAACACACAACACACACCCACCCACACACACACACACACACACACACACACACACACCCACCACACACACACACACACACCTCCTCCTGCGGCCGGCCCCTCCCATGATGCATTAGTCATCTCCTTCAGGTAGGAGTTGAAGCTGACGTCCAGACATTTAACGGAGAAAGTTTCCATCATGAAGCGAGCCACGGCGACGTAACGTTGGTACGGATCCCCGAGCGTGGAGTCAGACATCGCCTCACACAGAACCTTAATGGTGATGTTAGTGCCCGTCACTCCCTGAAAATACACAGAGAAAAGAAGAAGGTTGAAGCAAATTGATCCACATTTTCATTCGATTTACACACGGCATCTATTGCACGTCTGTCCGTCCAGAGAGCGATCCCTCCTCTGTTTCTCTCCCTGAGGTTTCTCCCATGTTCCCCTTTAAACTGTGGGGGTTTCTCTGGAAGCTTTTCCTTGTACGATGTGAGGGTCCAAGGACAGAGGGTGTCGTATTGTCATACTGATATTCTGTACAAACTGTGAAGTCCACTGAGACAAATGTAACATTTGTGATATTGGGCTATATAAATAAACATTGATTGATTAATTGATGATCTCCAAGTTTGAAAAGATTATATTAACATACATTAACTTGCAAGGCATTAACCATGAAGTAATGAGAAGGCCAACATGTCACTCAAAGATAAAGTACAATGAAATGATGACACACAATTACTCCAAATAGACCAAAACAACTGCTAAATTACACAAAACAGAGGGGAAAAAGCTGTCGATTTTCTACAAAATGAATGAAGGCTAGGCCATGACATTTAATTGTAGTGTGGGATTTCTTTATAGCGGTTACAGTGGGATTTGTCTCCTGAAATAAAGAGACACTTCTTGAATTGAAGGATTGGTGCATGGAAAACACGACACAAAAAGACATGTGACCTACAAGCATAGGGGGGAGAAGTTATTTTAGTAGTGCCAGAGGGGGGAGAAGTACTCAGATCTTGTGCTTGAGTAAAAGTAGAAGTAGTC